GCCAAGCTCTGCAACACAATTACAAGAGCTCCCTGCCCTGGAAAGGACATGACATGAACATCTCTAATTGAATTCTAAAGATAATTTTGGCTGTTTGGGCAATTTTGCATTTCTTCACAAGATCTAGCCTCTATCCAAGCATGTGAAATACTAACTGAGAATATCCGTAAGACTCAGCCAGTGAAGAACATTCCTTCCTTTTTTGTTTCTTTCTCCTGAAACCAATATTTCTAAATGTTCCTAGTCCCACACAACCCTTCAGCATCCCTGCCCAAAATCCCACTACTGTGCCCATGAGGCAGGTTTAAGAAGAACACTCTAACAGTGCCTTCCAGTTTTATAAGACTACCAGCCTACTTTGCAGAGTACTGGTGAGAATGTACCAAAATATGGATTGCCCATATTGTCAAATTATACTGCTTCCAGTTGCAATTTTAACTACAATTTGCTTTTGATGTAACTAAAACTGAAAGGAAAATGTGTGCATATTGCATGGAATAGACACAGTTGAGTGTTTTCTCAATTGAACAATATTTTCAAATAGATAACTTTTGTTTCAAGTAACTGCCTATCAGTAGCTAGCATATTTTGTAACACTCAAAGCAAGAGAAAAAAAAGTCCCCAACAGACTTCTTACAGCTTCGATTTCATTTTGAAGTGTCAGACTCTGTGTCACTGGAAGCAGACATTCCCTCTGCAGCACTTGTAAGCTGCAGCAAAACAGACACTCAACTTTCCAGGCTCGCTCAGCTGAAATCCCATTAAGACAAGAAAGAAGTTTATACTTTCGTATCAAAGCTACGGTAAAATTTAACAACAAATGAGGCCTTTAACCGAGTGGCTACGTAGCCTGCACTTAAAAAGGGTTTTACTCCAAGCCTGTTGTTTGAAAAACTTTTCATTTTGTCTGCACAGAGCAATGCAGTCATTTGTTGTTGAGAGACCAAGCCGTACACGGCTGGTAGGGTCTCCCACCTCCAGGCTTCCCAGAGCCCTTGCTGGTTAATGCCCATTCCTTCTCTGTCAGGTGCCCGGCATCCTGACACTGAACAACTAGCATCCTACTCTGCCAAATTCACCATCACCCAATTTCCACATGACAGTTTTGTCTGACTACAGTGAAGATGGCACTATTCAGATGCTGGCAGCACTGCCCATGTAGAAAGATGGCCATGGGGGCTTCCATCCTGTCAGTCTTTCAGTCTTTGCAAATGGTGAAGCACTCTCCTCTAGCTGATGAGCTTGCTTCTGCCTCTTATTCAGATGTGACATTCATGCTGTTCCTCTGCTTCTACATTTATGTTTCTTAGAATTCTGCAGATAGCTCCCACCAAACACAAACTGTATTAAATGAAAAACACTTTTCTGTCCATTAAATCGTGATCCAATCTTCACAGATAATGCAACATGGCTGTGATGTTTCTTCTCTTTCAGGCAAGATTGCCGAAAGACAGGCAAGCATTCCAAGTTATTTCTCTTAAATTCAGTAAGACTCAGGGATAGGAAAATCTAGAAATCCTTCCAGCTTCCTTTTACATGGCCTGAACTATTCAAAACATGGAGAGCAGTTGGCAACATTGTCCTTCAAATTTAGAGACACAGCTTCACTATAAAAAACAAAACCACTTTTTGCAAAACCCACCTCAGAAATTGCATCTGGGTCAGGAAATCAAATACTGGCATATATAATTTGATTTTCTTTACTGTTTAATTTAAATGCTCAACTGTGAAAAATGTAGGTTTTAAAAATAAGGTGCTGCGTGGCAAAGTCAGACAAATCTTGTATAACTTATACTGCAATACCCTCTTGTGGCCATACACAAATAGTTTATCTAAATACCTGAAGCTTTCTTCTCCCATAAAAAAAAACCCAAAAAAACAAAAAAACAAACAAACAAACAAAAAAAACCCTATTTTTTTCCCTTTTGGAAAGAACTAGCTCACATATTTGTTACAGACAAATCTGTATCAGCATCACTTGTCTGGTAGCAACAAAGGAAGAACCCCAGTTATGTTCTTCTTCTGCACAATGGGCCCTGACACTGCTTATCAGAGAAACTAATACCAAAATTAACCCTTAAGCAAAGGCATCATCTCCTACAGCGATACCCATAACAACATTTCCAATTCTTATGTCCCCAAGCAGAGGAAATAAAGACACTATATTAATTTTCACGGACAAATACAACATGAAGCCACAATTAACATTAATCTACTGCAAGATGGAGAGAAGTATGCAGTGAATCCGTTGTGTTAACCCAAACGAGTTCCACTCTTCCACTCTTAAAATCCCAACGTTGTTAGGGGAAAAACCAAAACAAAACAAAAGCTAAATGATTTTAAAACAAAACAAAAGCTAAATGATTAGCTTTTTTTAATCTGAAAGCAGATGATAATAGTGGGGGAAACAGCTCAATACCTGCAGAACTATTGAGCTGGTAGTATACCCAGTGGCCTGAATGGGCTACAGGTTTGTCCACTTAGGAATCTAGAGCAGTCCCCAGAAACATCACCCTTACACTAACCTTGATGTGCTTTAATGGTGCACAACCACACCCTTAGTGGAGAGCAGTCATGAGAACACAGGATAGTTTAAAAGTATTTGCTCTTAGTCATCTGTTTTGGGAACAGCAGCTATTTTTTTTTAATTCATATAAAAGTCACAACAACCACAAAACTTATTTAAACAGCCATTATCCCACTCCCATCTGCAATTTCCAGAGGAACAACTGGCACAGGATAAAATGTCCAACCACTGTATATGTAGACTTATAGACTATATTCATGTAATGGCAGAAATGCTAACTGGTAAAGACTCCCTTCTTTTCTGAGGTTGCAGTCATGGACATAAATATCTGACTTTAACTTACTAGCTCACTTTCAGGAAGGCATTCCTGGTCTCCAACTGCATCAAAACCAAGTCAGCTACATCTCCTGCATCTTTGCAGACAACATTCAATAGAATAGACTCCATGCACTGCCCAGCAATGTTTCCATGCAATTTATTCAGTTACAAGTCATTTGGAAACTATGTACTCAGCTGATAATCATTTTTAGCTTATTTTCATATGAAATTTGCAGAAAGTGACTTGGAAGGGGGGAGAGGGGGGAGGGGGTATAAGATAGAAGGGGACAGACTCTTTAGCAGGGTCTGTTGTGACAGGACAAGGAGAATGGTCTCAAACTAAAGGAGGGGAGATTTAGACTGGAAATAGGGAAGACATATTTTTTACAAAAAGGATGGTGAGGCACTGGCACAGGTTGCCTAGAGAAGTGGTGGATGCCCTGTCCATGGAGACACCCAAGGTCAGACTGGATGAGGCTCTGAGCACCCGATGGAGCTGTGGCTGTGTTGGCGCATTGCAGGGGAGTTGGACTGGATGGCCTTTAAGGGTCCCTTCCAACTCAAATGATTCTATGATTCTATGAAAGATTACAATAAAAATAACAGAAGAACTTCGTAAACATTCATGAAAAAAAGTATTCCATTCACAGGTATAGCCTTTCCATCAGGATCTTTTCCAGACCTGATCAGAGGCTGAATTCCCACATGCATTGATAAATTAATTGGGTCTTCCAAGCATGCCCCATGTTCCTTTCACAGCAGTTAGATGCCACTAAAACCCCACTCTATCTGCATAGACTGCACTAAAACTATCTATCTGCATACAATCCAGGAGAGGATCTTGGATTCTAGAAGAGGAACAGAGTCAACTATAAGGCCTGGCTGCAAACAGCTCATTTCTTCAGTTATAGGGCTGTGTGGATATGTGACATTTTTTGTTCTTCTTGGCTGAAGGAGACAGAAAAAAGTTTAGGCTTCAATTCTCTCAGAAAAGACAACAACGCAGACAAAAAGCCTACTAAAATTTCATTCAAATCCAAAGCAAACATTTTGTTTTGACATCGATTTTTAAATTCTTCTTAATTTATGTTATTGCAATTTTCGAAGTCGTGGTAATTCTTCCAAATACAGAAATAGCTTTTGCTCAAAAATGTCTACATGAAATGTTTGGATTGTTACACAGTTACAACTATTTAAAAATATATTACTTCTTTGCCAAATTCAGCATGTATTTCCCAATAGCCCCAAGTAAGCACATTTCCAAAAAAGAAAAATAAAAAAGACAACTAAATCCCTAAAAAAACAGATTAGCATTTACTAGAAAGATGGAGCACAAGGCTAGAATTCATCTGGAGCTGCTTCCCATGACTTAGAAACAAGTCAGTCAAGAATTGAAGAGGAAATTTATACTTAAAATGCCTCATTTTCCTGCAAGTCACCAATACTTGAGGAAGTGACTTAATACCACAAACGGCAGCAGGCTGACTGTAAGGCTGACAAACTGATATTTCGAACACTGCTTAGAAAATTCTCACTTTTATTTAACTATTTTATGCTAATAGTTCCTGAAAGTTAATTAAAAAGTACTTCCCATAGTTGCTTAATACCTTCTGGAGAAATCTCTGAGTACTTTAAAAGGACTTCTTACGATCTTTGGATGCAATTTTTTAAATCTGAGAATAAGGAGCTTTAAGAGCGCAGTTGCATTGAAATATCTTCTTTCAAACAAAAGAGCTCTGCCCCAAACAGAGTCCAAGGCCTCAGCAGCTGCCTGCAGTGGGTTTCTGCTCCCTTTCTGGTGAATATTCACAAGCCAGCCTGGTTTCCAATGGAGACAGTAAACACATCAGGGAAAGCAGAAGCTTTCTGGAGGTTTTGCTTCTGCCACACAGCTCCAACAAAACTCCTGACAAAGTCAGCAGCAGTCCCAGTGCATGCTTTGCATTAAACCAGGCTTTGCTGTTTGCCGATTTTGAACATACGGTGGTCTCAGCTGCAAGCAGCACACATCATCTTCCTGTGCTTGCTGCTTACAGCTGGAGGCTGATGTAACAAGTGTTTCTTACAAAATTGTTGTTACCACAGAAACTTGTTCAGCCTTTGTGCACTGAAGCAACACGAAGCAGTAGGAAATGATCATTAAATAACATGGAAGCAAAACAGCGCTGAGCACTGCCTGTCAGTGCTGGTGTGCACACTCATTTTCTTAAAGCAGTCCAAATCTGCAGCTGAAAGAAATGTTGGGAGAGGAGGAGCTCTGAAAGCAGAAACAAGAGCAGGTTTAACCTTCCTAAAGTTTCAGTAGATCTGTTATGAGTGTCAAAATGGACATGCTGGAAAAAGGTACTGGATTCGGCAGGAACACCTTGACTGGTTCTTGGCATCCAGCAAACACAGCTCTGGGGCAATCAGCCTCAGCTCCACCTCTGTCTCGTGGCAGCATTCGGCTTGGAAGAGCACATCTGGCTGCTAGGTCCAGAACAGAGGAGCAGGCAGCTCTGCAGCAGGACCAAGTACAGCAGGATAAGGTCTGGAGGGAGTCTGTGGAGGCTGAACGAAGAGGAAGAAAAATCTGGTAAGTTATTTGTTCCAATTCTGTCAAATAGCTGTTGGAGATGGCCCAGAGGAGGGCCACAAAGATTATCGGGGGGCTGGAGCACTTCCACTATGAAGACAGGCTGAGGGAGCTGGGCTTGTTCAGCCTGGAGAAAAGAAGGCTGCGGGGTGACCTCATTGCAGCCTTTCAGTACCTAAAGGGAGCCTACAAACAGGAGGGGAATCAACTCTTTGAAAGGGTTGACAACAGCCGGGAAATGGGAAATGGTTTGAAGTTGAGGGAGGAAAGATTTAGGTTGGATATCAGGGGAAAATTTGTGACTGTAAGAGTGGTGAGGTGCTGGAACAGGCTGTGCAGATAGGTTGTGGATGCCCCATCCCTGGAGGTGTTCAAGGCCAGGTTGGATGGGCCCTGGGCAGCCTGGTCTGGTATTAAATGGGGAGGTTGGTGGCCCTGCCTGTGGCAGGGGCGTTGGAGATCCTTGAGATCCCTTCCAACTCAGGCCATTCTGTCATTCTGTGATAATTCACCTGTCCTCTGCTCATCCTGGCAGTATAACTGATGTTCCCTGATATCCTAGGGCTTCATCTGAAGTCTATACTATCAAGCAAAGTTTTCTTCTGCAGGGTCCTTGGATCAGAACCTACCACCTTAGCATCAGAAAGATTCTAATGCTATATTAACTCTGTTCTTCTTTACTGGGCAAAATATATGCCAATAACTCCTGACACACTGAGGAAGCTGAAAAAGAGATGCAAAGAAATGCATACTTCATGTGTTTTAGCTTTATAGGGATCTCCACAACGACGATATGAATGTGCCAACCTTTATAATTTATTGCAGACACACTGATATTATCGCCACTTCTCATATTCTTGGAAATGGAAGTTGAACAGAGTGTTCTGCCAAAACATGATTCTGGAGTCCCAATCTGTAAATCTCCTGAACATACCCCACAAGCCACATGAAGACAGGAAAATCCCATTATTTCAGTGCTTCAGCAGAAAGAACAGTATGGATATATGTATTCACCAGTTACCTGAAAGAGCCAGAAATTAGGATCCTCTCTGTCTCTGCCACATAACTTGTGAAGTGCTTCTGTTCGTACTTCAGTACACAACACAGACATGCTTCTTAGAAGGATATTTTTGGTAAAAGTAAAAACAGCTCCAGTTCTGCCTATGCACTGGCTATGCACTAGCCAAGCAGACAAAAGGAGAAGGCAGAGAATGAAGCACACCACTTTTAGGATGATTTTAAGAAGGGAAAAGAAACCATCTGAAAACTCCTGTCCTCCCCAGTCCTCTGGAGGAAATAGAGATAATAGTTTGGGTTTCTCCAATGCCTGCTTTGTTGTCTGGCTCTTACTGCCCAAGGGCAGCGCTGAAGCCTGGACTCTGGCTCACACAAAGCCTGAGCTATGGTTGCAATGCTGCTCTCCCTCAGTTGTATACTCAGGCCCTTTTCCAGTGGGCCCAGATCTTCCATGCCCATTCTGCAGCAAAGGCAACAGGAGGGATGCTACATCTGCACGTGTCTATTAGGGTTCACAGTCATGGATGTCAGTGCAAAGTGTCATGTGTACTGAGGGTAATACATTACACAGCTAATGCATGCCCTGCTCTCCATCCTTGGCTACATAGACGAACTCAGATGTCTAAAGCCAGCACAGCTGCCTACGGCAGGCTACACAGGCTACAGCCTGCAGGGCTGCAGTCCTTTAGCTCCTCATCCCCATCACAAAAACAATGATGGGGAAAGCTTGCTATGAATTTGTTGTCTGACCTAAAGTGGGTACAGGCAAATGGCAGAGACCCAAACATTTCTCAGTAACCAGAAGTTATAGGGACATCCAAACCTGGCATACTCATACAGTGCTCAACATAGCAAGATGAATAAAATAGGGAGCAACAAAGACAAAAGATTTTAAACTGCAATTTTTACTTCTATTCCAAGGTACCAGAACTGGAGTTTCCTAAAGGACTACGACCAAATGGTAAGTTTCAAACAAATACTTAACTCTAATCCAGGTTCTTTTTAGCTTGCATCACTTTGAAAGACACTAATATTTTAAATGGAGCATATTTAGGCATAACTGGCAAATGTTTTAAGACTTAAATCTTTAGGAAAACAAAAGGGAGCTGAGGTGCCATTCATCTTCCATAAAGAAATAGAGGTTGTGCATACCTTCAATCTACTTCAGTGTTAATAACTTCATGCAGAGAAAAGTGCTAGAAGAACCAGCTTAGGGGAAAAAAAAAAAAAAGAAAAAGAAAAAAAAAAGTGTAAGATAATGTCATACTAAAATCCAAGTCACTACTGAAAACAAAATGAAAAACCTCCCACATCACAAGCACTCCAGAGCAGGCTAAATTCTTTCTCTCCTGACATTTTAAGCAACATATTTAAAAATTATTCATTTCCCTGTGCTATCTTATTCCCATGAAAAATAGTAGGAAAACTTTTCTTCTTAATAGGAAAACTGTACTTCTGCAACACTTTCATGTGCATTCAGTATGACATGCTTACAACTTAATTTTCAAAAAGCAAAAGAGCTGATGTCACTAATAATCTCAGTAACCTGAATTTTCAGAAGCAAAGGATGCAACCCCAAAAACTTCAGCATTAATGGTCTTTGTTTCATCCAGGGTAACAAAAAGGAACAGAAGCCTCTACCAGACTACATCTCTGTGTTTTCAAACACAGTTCCCAATTCCACCAACCAGAACATTGGCAGCAGGATGAATACTGAACTTGGCAAGATGCTGATAAACATGGATTATCTCTTCAGCAGGGGAGCACAAAAGAGGAAACTTGAAGATGACCTCCAGCTTTCCTAATGCTTCAAGTAAAAATACCAGTAACAAAGCAAGTGAAAGAGATCTAGCCAACAGACTTCTTTCAGATTGAAAATAGCAGGTAACAAATTCCTCATCTTCCATCAGAGATCAATAATGCTGTCCAGCATGGAACTTTTTCAAGAGCAAAGACGTATGCCACCAAGCAATGCCTAAGGAGACAATCCTCTTCAGATTTGAGGTAACTGGGTCATATACAGTGAGTCAGGACCACAGATCCCATCCATTTTCCTATGCAAGGCCACTGTAACATTGCTACTAACATCAGAAAGAGTAAGTTTAGAGCCAAAGGGCAATTTCTTCCTGAATTTTTACCTCCTGAAAAGAAACAATTACTGGAGATCAGCTCAGATGAGCTGCACCACAAATTACACTGACTGAAAGTCAATGCAATAAAATGCAGTAGGTTGTTGCATTTCATCTATTTAGCCAAGGATTCACCAGCTTGTCACTTGCATGTTTAAGCTTGTTCCAAGAGTGAAATTGAAGGCAAGCAAGATGTGTTATGCGCATTTTCAAGCCTCCCTGCTGAGGGAAAGAAGCCAATTTTTTTTCAGACTGGTTTTCATTTTTATTTCTTTGGACTTGCTGTTTCTCCCTTTGCTTTCAAATTCCCTTTTTTTCTTTTTCTTTTTTTTTTTTTTTTTTTTTAGCTGATGGAAAACCATGATCAGAAAGCAGGCTTTTTACATTTTGCTCTGAATGCATGCCAGCTCAGAAACCTGAGCCACGCTCAGCTTGGTTATATTCTAATTATCACCATTCTTGAATTTAACAGGCCTGTAGCTCCTAGAATCTGTGGTTGCCCAGGGAAACCATCATAAGGCTAAATGGACACAGTACTTACAGCCTGTTACTAATGCATCTCAATGCAAAGCTTGTTTGTGATCTGTTGTTTTGTAGGAAAACAACATTAATCAGCAGAGCATGGGAAATGTACACACAATACCTGCCTCCATAGGCTGTAGGTAGTATCTGTAGAATCATGCTCAGCCCTTGCTGAAGACCAGCACAGAAGCCATTAACCTTGGTACAACAGGAACTCAGTGGACTGAGGAGAAATCATAGATTCATGGCATCATTAAGGCTGGAAAAGACCACTAAGATCATCTCATGCAGCCACCAACCCATCCCCACCGTGCCCACTGACCGCGTCCCTCAGTGCCACATCTCCACATTCCTTGAACACTTCAGGGTTGGTGATTCCACCACCTCCCTGGGCAGCCTGTGCCCCTGCCTCACACTCTTTCTGAGAATAAATTTTTCCTGATATCCAACCTGAACTTCTCCTGGTGGAACTTAAAGCCATTACCTCTTGTCCTATCAATGGTTACCTGGGAGAAGAGGCCAATGACCCACACCTCACTACTCAAAGTATGGCCTCACCAGTGCTGAGTAACATGGAGTGGTGTTTCCTCATGCTTCACAACTGAGTCTATTTTTGAGGTTGAACCAGCAGCTAAAGGCAGTTCAAAAGCAGAAGAGGTGGACTGGAACAGTGTGATCACTGTCAACATCCAAGTGATCTCTAGAAAAAAAAACAACAAAAAAAAAAACCCAACCAAACAATTAAAGAATATCCTGCTCACTGAAACCATAGCAGTGAGAAGTTCACCTCATGGCTTCCTGAGTAGCTGAGAACCAGAGGATTACGGCTTTCAGGATAACAACTGAGGTATCTAGAGAAGAAATAAAATGGCATCACAAAAGCAATCCACGCAAGGACTGATGCCATTTTATGTGCAGACACAGAAAAAGGAAACCTACACTTTAAAAAAAAAAAAAAAAATCTTGCTGAGCTAAAATGCCTTCTGATTTCTTCTAAGAGAAGAAAGCTGTAGCAGGAACTGTTTTGATTTCAGATACATCTAGTGGGAACATAGTAAGCTCCACGTTTTCTAACCTGCAGATGGCACTCACTTCCCACCAAGTAATCCGCTGCAAAGGACACCGTTGCAGCAACAGTAGTGCACAATTCATTTCTAATTTCAAAGGGCATTAAATAGTTCCAGGTTCTCAACTCTTTGCTCTGTATGAATCCGGAGAATCCTTCTCCCAGAGAGGCCCTGCACAATGGATTGCACAGGACGGAGGATGGTCACAGCACTGCACAACTTCACCCTTCCTCTCAGCACTGGCACTGCTTCAGCTGAAGTGTTTCTTCCAGTTTTGGGCAAAACATGGAAGGCCCTGCTCTGAAGACGTGGGCCACTAAGGAGCCTTGAGAAGCAAAGACTGTAAATGGAGTACTCGGAAGTTCGGCCATGAGGAAACTAATTTAAACAGCTTAACCTGAAAAAATAAAAAGAGAACGGGAACAGGATAGCAGTCTTCAGATACACACATAACTCAGGGAGTGAGAAAAGCAGCCGTTTGTATTTCATGTGCATGGCAGACAATATTCAAAATAACAGTCTAAACTTGCGGAAGGAAGAACCGTGTTTGCTATAACAGAAGGTAGTGGTAAGGCTAATGCTGCACTGAGAGAGGCTGGGAACAATCCTTAAAAGAGAAAGCCATCTATCTAACTACAGAATTAATGCTGTACCTTTGAATGTTAAACACAAACAGCCAACAGGAATGACATATTTAACATGGCTTGCCTGTTAGTGTATAAACTGTGTAACTGAAGCATTTTTCATCTGTTATCTGATCGACACTGGAGTTGCTGGAATCACAAAAAACATCTTTTTAAAACATATTCAAAAAGAATTAAAATTCACATCAGTTGGGTCAGATTGGAATGGACCACATCTCAAAAATCCAGATGAAGCACCTCACGTTTTGATGAGTACACATCTTCTACTGGCTGCCACAGGTAACGCTTTTCACTGCATCCAGAGGTGCCTTTTTTAATCAGAGCTCTTCTAAAATCCATCCTTACTGCCTAGTCTGTAGTGAAAGTAAGTTCACACCTTGACTTGGTGATAAAGCTAATTGAAATGCTGCTGGAATACTGGCGGGCAACAACCTGCATAGCGGCAGCTCCTCCCACCCTCAGAACTCACTCGCATTTCCTGCTGAAATCTAAGCAGTTGACACTGTAATATCTCCAACAAGAAAACAACTGTTCATAGAACAAAAGTTTCCCAACATGAACACGTATTTTGTTCAATTACTACCTGTTCCTTTGAAATTAAAATTCCTTTATGCTGCTGCTGTTAGCTCTCCTCTGGCACCAGCTGGATCATTCTGAAGTTACTCTGCCTCTCCCTACTGCGTACAGCAACCTTCAGAAAACACAGCTGGAAGCAGCTGAAGAGCCAACCAAAACTGCCACAGAACCTGTAAGCAGAAAGCAATAAACAGGTATTCTCCAGAATTAATTTTCTTCCCAAGTTTAGCCATCATTCTTCTCTTACCGGAATTAATTTCACCAACAAATCTTTATTTACATAAGCAAAGTCTCAGAAAGAATGGATGACAGCAGCACTTAAATCTGTAAATGACCAGTGGAAACTCCATTTATTAAAGAGATTGTACAGATACTAAACTGTGCTGTAAGCTTCTTGTGAAGAGTTTTTATGATGTATCACTCGTGCTTCATGGTTTTACAAGAGTTTTTTTTTTTCCTTTTGCTGCCAGATCTCAAAGAAGAGATTATCTGTGTTTAGAGAATTCATTCTCTGTATTTCTTTCAGCTAAAGAGCACAAGTGGGTAGGAATTTGAATTTAATTCTGTAGTTAGATAGATGGCTTTCTCTTTTAAGGATTGTTCCCAGTGCCTCCAAGTCTTGCATGTTCTCATTTCAAGCTCTTCTCATAATAAAAATGTGTGAAATGGATTATATTTTATAACAAAACATATGTAAGTTCATATGAACCTGTCTTTCTTACACTCTTAGAGTAGTCTTTGTACACAGCTCCCATATGGCATCTTAACTATAAAGCTTTTTATTCTAGAAGACTGGTGATTCCAACCACGTTTTTTTTGAAACTGTATTTAAAAATGCTTCCTGACCTTTGCATTATTCTACACCAGCAGTTAAGTGGGTTTTCCTACAAAAAAAATGGCAACATGGTGCAAATTACAAGAACAGTAAGATTTCTACAACACAAAAAGAAAAAAGCAATTATGTACAGACAGATGGACAAGAGTCCAGGTCCAGGCACCGATAGATTTCTAATACAATGTATAATACATACATATAATACATACAATACATAAACGACATATTGCATACATACATGCACATTCACATTTTTCCCTTTTTTTTTTTTTTTTGCCTTTTGCCTTCAAGAACACCCTGTAGAACAACATTTCCAGAGTATATGTTCATCTTAATGCAGGTAATTTTCTTCTTCACAAGAAGTGGGGTAGGTTTTGTTTTGTTTTGTTTTATATGGATTTGTATTTGTTTGTTTGTCTTTCGTTTATTTGCTTATTTTCTTTGACTGCTGGGTTTTGAAACGAATAATAATTTGTTAGGGCCTCAAACTGCTTTTTCTAAGCCCTGCTCAGATAGAAACCAGCAAAACCTTGACGACCTTCCTGAAGTAGAGTATCTGTCTTAAAAGCTATACTTGCTACTCTGATTCCAAGTGAGCTCTTGCTTTGTCCTGTTCAGAAACCTCCACATTTGGTTGGATTAATTCTTTGAAACCAGATGCTTTTCCAAGAAACTCAGAACCGCTGCCAAGCACTGAAGAGGCACTTGGTTCTGTACATTACAGCCCTGCCCACAGCCCTCCTCTGTCTCAGGAAGGACAGATGCCACAGACTGATGTCATCCTGTAACCTTTTCAAAGCCTCTTTCAGAAGTTGCATGTACCCACAAAACCACCATTACTTAGAAATGGAATTTCCAAGAATCTGGGATTAAAGCCTCACCTCAGCCTATCACCTTTATGCCAGGTTGGTGGAGCAAAACTGCTGCAAATGTCTTTTCATTGGCTTCCCAGGGAATGCCGGCAAGAACCTCTCATTTGGCATCAATAAATTGCAATAAAAAATAATCTCCAAATACAGAAGCTGTAAACGTTATGAGATTTGGTTTCACTCTATGATTTTGATAGATCACTTCAAACTGCCTGCTTTCCCCAGTTAGTAATGATTACCCATCTTTACTGGATATACTGTGTGTGAATTAACAAATGCACATATGCAGCAACTCTTAGCTACAGGTATTGCTGCAAATGAGAAACGAACTAAACAGTGCAGGGTAGAACCAATGGTAACTATCCCAATGCTTTGTAATAGCTGCATGATTTTCTCTCTTAAAAGCCAAAGGAACTGAAAAGACAGCTTTTGCATTAAGCTTCTAGGTGGGTGTGTAAGGGGGGCAGTTCTGGTATGTTAGGCTCTTCTGGTACTTCTTTTTGGCTAACCGTATTATTTTACATAACATGCCATTACCCAGAGCAGCCTTCAGACCTTCAATTAGCTCAATGAGCCATTTCACAGAGTGCACACTGAGTTAACAGGGTGGTATTTTCTTTTTTTTTTTTGGCTTACAGTGCTCTCATTCATCTTGCAATGCGTGTTCTTCCTAACATCAAGTAAACCTTACATAAACACTGCCATGTTTTCAG